TTTATGTGCATATGTAATTACTGCCCGGTATTGGTTAGATGCATTTCAATATATGTTATCATTATTTATGTGCATATCTAATTACAGACCGACATTGGTTAGATGCATTCAATATATGTTATCATTATTTATGTGCATATGTAATTACTGCCCGGTATTGGATAGATGCATTTCAATATATGTTATCATTATTTATGCGCATATGTAATTACTGTCTGGCATTAGCTAGGTGCATTTCCATATATGTTATCATTATTTATGTGCATATTGAATTACTGCCCGGTATTGGTTAGATGCATTTAAATATATGTTATTATTATTTATGCGCATATCTAATTACAGCCCAGTATTGGTTAGATGCATTTCAATATATGTTATCATTATTCATGCACATATGTAATTGTAACATTGAGGGTGTCTGGAATGTATTCAGACGTTTAAGATTACTTTTTGTAAATAGTGTAATATAAGATATATATCATAGAGGTTCAACTTTTATTGGTTTATACATATTGATTATAGATAGGATAATAGGGATGGATTTACAGGTATTTTTTTTACAATGCCAGTGTACTTATTTTTTTTTCGATTAAAGATGTATAGAATATTTTATATCATTTTATTTTTCTCCAATCTATGTACTGGGAGTTACCCAACCACTAAATTGGTGGTATCTGTTGATTATCTTAAAGTGCGCCCTCTTTGGCAAGTCAACATATTTTATTTGCATGGAATATATTATTAATAAGAATGGCAAAATGTATTGGGGAATATCTGCCGGCGTTGTTTAGTATGAAAGATAACTCGAATGCCATAATCTATCGCTTTAGTGCCCATGCCCAACTTTTGCGCGATTTGTTTCATTCGCGGTCACATTCGGCAAAGCGCCCACCCTTCAAAAACGTGGAAATTTATGTGACTAGTCATGAAACCGTGTCATCGGACATCAACTTTCTCGATGTTTACTGTTCAGAAAAACATGTATTTCCGAACGGACATTTGTACAGAAGTTCTCATTTTAGATAATATTGCAACATTGTATCATTCCAAATCGTGGAAAGTAGAACTGTTTACAGAAACAGGTTTTAAATAATAATGTTTTGTAACGATCGTCATCAATATTGTGGACATCATTCTGATTAAAATCCAATGTTGGTATGTGGCTCTAATTTTTGTTATGATCCTTTATGTAAATATTTATTTGTATTTTAGTTTGAATATGTCGATTTTTTGTTTTTTCTTGCCGTTAAGCAGTTTTTAGAAAATCGTGTCAGACTACTAGTTCTAGTTACAAATAAATATTATAAATAAATAAATATATATATAATATATATATAAAGAGTCATAAAATAATAATAATAATAAAAAAAATTGAGCCTCATACCTACATCAATCGAGTGGCATATCTTTTACGACTTGCGACTTTTTATCAACAACACAAATTCTAAACAATGTAAAACGTTGTTAAGTGATTTATGAGTTTATTCTCAAAATCGTGCCCAAGTTTGATTGGCTAATGTTTCGTGCTTAATTTCCATTAGATATTCAGTAAATTATGCCCCAAATGTGTTGCAATTGCAAGAGTCACTGGCAATACATTTCCCAAATCCCTAGAAATACTTAGACTGGGTTTCAATATTGTAACAAAATACCATGGGCGTGCGTTCATCGATCTGGAAGAATGAATTTCACAACCGCCCCGTAATATTGTGTGTGGTACTGTATATTTAGACAATACCCCTGAATTCTGTTTAGGGAACAAGAGAACGGGTATTGGAGTCTATTTGGAATAATGGTAGCCGAGTGATGAGTCCAATTAATCCGCCTCCCATATTACCTTACCTTACCACTTATGATAGAGGAAAGACTCCATTGTCATTGCACTGTACATCGCACAAAGGTTATAGGAGACATGATTATGCCGGAGAGAGAGGTCACTTCCTAATGCGATAAAATAAACTCAAGACACAAATTATACAATTCACGAATCAGACGTTTTAATGAATAACACTCTACTAGATAAAATACTACAAGACAATACACACTGGTAATAAATAGGTAAACAATAATAAGTCAAACAACATTTCTTTTCATCAAAATAAAGTTACACTACAAGTTTCAAAAGATGTAGAAATAGCACTATTTAAGTATTTGGCTCGTCCATCAGTCAGAGAGTTCTACTATTGTTTCCACAATGAGGTCTAAAAACTCGATAATCTCAAGACTGAATTTATAATGAACTAGTGATGATTGTTAGTGCATGTAATTCCGTACTCTAATTGGCTGTTTTCGACGCATGTACAGGCGTACTCAGGCCCAGAATGGAATGTACTGCTATCCGATCTCGATATCTGCCACTCACAGAAAAATGGTTACAAGTTTTATGATTACTTAGTGGCATATCAAAACATATTTTTCTAACCGGGATTCCACTGTCTACTAGGGGCCAAACATGATACGTCAAACAAGAATTTGACACCCCTAACTTGGCGACTGAAACAATTACTCACCACTAAACTTACACTGAACAACTGAACTTACTAACCCCTAAGTGTGCAGCAACAATTAAATCTACTCGGAGTTCAAGCGATTTATGGAGTCGTCACATCGAGGTCACGACTCGGTTAGCCTTGCTCAACTGGTTCGTAACCAGTCTTGTGATTTGTTGTTGACAAATGCTGAACAGGCCACGCCTCCAACGGTATCGTGCGTTCTTACTAACCGTTAGGAATTCCTAAATGGAGTCAATTTGTGTAGTTTTCTTGATTTATTCTGCAGATATCGGTAAAATGTAGGTAAGGCTTTGGCGAAATTTTAAGAAGCAATTAATATTCTTCAACCTGGTATTTTTATTATATTTAATTTTTCATTCTTTTCGTCTGTTTTTTCAAGTTTATAAAATGTGAGCTGGCTGGAGCCTTCATCCCTTGTCTATTTCTTACACTAGATACCAGCCAATACCCCCCCCCCCCCGCTCATAGAGACTGCGTATTACAGTTGATTATAGTTCCTGGGCTCCCTGTGATTATATTATAAAAGGCGACACAAGATTACTATCACTTATTTTGGGATTGTAGATTTATATACATTTTTTGGAATTCAGTTAGAAAATGGTTATCCTCGTTCACAGAACTCATTTTAACATTAAATGCTCTAAAATGTATTCTGGGAGATATTGATGAGCATGCTAATCCAATGCTTAACTATGTCCTACTTATAGGTCGTTATTATATATTTAAATGCAAGTTACAACACATTATGCCAAACATTGTAGGTTTCAAATCCTGTGTAAAACAAACCATTGATTTGGAAAGTATCATTGCGAAAGCTCAGAACAGAAGAACAAAGTTTCTAAAGAAGTGGGGGCCTTTTATTGAATATTATGATCTATAAATGTTTTTCTTTTTTCTTTCATTGTTGTTTTGTCTGTAATTTGTCATTGTAATTTTTGCATATTAAATAAAATAAAAAAAATGTAAAAAAAAAATAAAAAAAAATAAAAAAAAAGGCGACACAACGTAATATACAATGTAAAAATATGCATGTCATTTTTTTAATTCTGAATTATTTATCGTCGTAAGGATTGTTATCTGGATAAGTTTATCCAAATTGTCAGCATTTGCTGTACATTGTTGACTTCTTTTTTCACCTAGAGTGGACGTCTATCAGATTTATTCATTCATTTCGTGACATTAGATTCAATTCACTATTTTTTAGTGAATATTGTCGTCGTTTGGGGAAAATTATATTATTGACCTCTCTCCTGAAAAAAATAATTGCTCTGATATTTTATGTAGATGTTTTGGGTGAATCTGTACCAGCTTTGTTCACTTGGGATGGTTTTTCAAATCCTTTACTTTGTTGTCAATTTGGTAAAAAATTATATTATCAACTTTCTCTTGAAAACAACCAGCTTGATTGCTTTGAATTCATATACATATATGTACCTTAGGCGGACCTATATTTGGTGATCATACCTTCAATCCTCTAATTTTAGAGAATAATTTTGGTAAAACACTGTATTCTTGAACTATTTAAAAAAATAAAGCTTGATAGCTAGTTAACTCTACTGAATAATGTAAATCAACAGATCATGCTCTGAAAATGTATCCAGTACAGATGAAGTTATATTTCCAGCATTTTGAAAAGTTGACATAACACGACGGAGATCGACGGGCCGCGCATGTGCGACATTTGCGTTGATAAACATGTTTTTTCCACAATTCAATGCGCGCTTCTAATGACACATTAGTACGAGTTTTAACCTGGGCGCGACCTGCACCGTAATTATCGCCGATGACACCTTCGATACCTTCTAATAAGCAAAGAAGTCACCTAGCTAAAACTTAGTGTCTCTGTCTGTGCTCGTTGGTCTGCTCAACAGGCAAAGTCGCCATTTATGTTCATATGAGACCCATATCTCGCGCATGCATGGACTGCTATGATCTTTGTTTATTTTATTATGATACTTATAATTTTAGTGAATATTTTTGGTAAAGACTAGTATTAACTTGACTTTTCATGAAAACTAGCAGTCTCATATCTTCCGTAAGGCTATATATTAGTTCCTTGGGCGTACCACTATGAACGAACACATAGTTAGGGAGTAGGTCATGTGACAAATTAATGTGCATAAATTAGTTATGCTAGCTCTTATGGGTATGGTTATGTTACCAAATCTAAAATGAGCGCGGCATTGAAGCTAGATGTGTGTGTTCTTAGCAACCAGAAACATGTGCACATCAAAGCTACAACATCATTTTTAAAATCCACGTGTTTGACATGTGGTGTGTCATAATAGCATTCATGTTGATATTCATGGAATTTACTTCACCCGGATAGAGATGGGCCGTTAATTTCAGGGATCCGAACCGTGTGAATCAGTGAGTGAAGAGAATAGCTGTAACCCAACGAGCCTACAAGCCACAGGGGAGATAGAACGTTTTTATTTCATGCGCTGCAAAACACGTTAACAAATCATGGGTTCGTGAGTCAGCATGCAATGTCGACGTAAAAGTCTCAAAAATAAAAACAAATGTCTATTTTGTTTCTTTAATGAAAAAGCAAACATATATACCAAACAATATCAACCAAAAAAATGATATAAAACATTTATGTATTTATAAATAAAACATTTCTACTGTGTAGTACACAATATGAAATATAAATGGTTACATGTTTCAGATTGAAAAAATATATATATTTAATATTTCCCATACACGAATAAATAAGACCATCATGGGAATAAATACCAATACCTGAATTGTCAATACTATTATTAATATTTTACCTGAGAAATGTCTCCACTATGATATGAAGGTGTTATGCAATTTTCACCACCACAGTTTCCTCTTTTCATCTGAATATAAACTGAAAACTGGCTAAAATGTTGTCTGTTGGCTTCAGAATTAGGGTTCGTTTCCAGAAATATTGATGAATATAAGAAAAAAGGTGCAAAAAAATGTGGGCAAGAAAGTCTGGCGGTGAAATGGATTATGAATCAGGATATAGGTGCACTTTTTAATTCAGCTTTTTAAGGAGCGATGAAGAATGCATTCATCACAAACAAAGAATGTTATAATAGTCATGAAACTTGGTATTTCATCTCATCATGCACGAGATTAACTTATTTTTTTTTTCATAAAAATATTTGCCTGAAAACCTTATTTGTTGTGAAAGACATATTTCAAATAAGGCGTTTACAGTTTTTATCCGATTTTATGGAACAAGTTGAATTTTAAAAGACATTTCTAATTAAAATACGAATGTGATCGAATAGGTTGGCATTATTATACAATCAATCAAAATTTATGTTTTCAATTTGATTTTTCAAGTACTAATAAATAAACAGATAATATTTACATTAAACGTTTTTAAATTCTACTCGATATTTTACAAAATCCGCCAATTTTACACGGATGCTTATACTTAAGTAGATAAAATGGACTTCCAGTCATACGATCAGACTAAAACAACGTTTTTCAAGCATTAAATACATATATTGTTCTAAATACATGTTTATCAGCTATTGCCACAAACTAGTGATATTCGTGAAAATCTGACTAAATTAACCGTATTGGATACTGAAAAGTTAAATTAGAACGCGCTATCACGATCATTAACTTGTAGTAATCAAAATATCCAAAAAGTGGGATTTAGTCAGAAGGTGTCTAAACCGGTACCGCTCTTCCTTGAAATAATAATTAATTATTTTAGTAAATTATGCCAGCCATTAACTGCTCTAAACTCGTTCAAACTTGTACAAAAGAATAACGTGTGCAGTAAAATAGTACAAATGACGACAAATTGCCCATGGCTGCAAGGATATTGTTAAGAGTTCTGTTGTGTCGGTATCAGCTTATTCAACATCAAGAACAAATCTCAAACGCAGTTCAACCAATCATCTGAAGTCGACCGAGGATACCCTTCAGAAACTTTTAAGTCACCGTTTTTCACAAGCCAATATTTATCGCGTTTCACAAAAAACGTATCGCCGTCTCTGCTGAAGGCAGTGTCAAAGTGCTTAGGAAGACCACTCCAACGGTCACTGATTAAGCCGACGCCCCCCGGAATTATGGTTTCGTCGTACTCACTCCAGATGTAGTAACGGGGACCCTTGAAGAAATAGATTAAATAAGAGGCATCCCCTGGCCAGACGAGAGCAGCATCGGGGCGGCGGGGAATTCCCGTCGCGTTGGTAGATTTGGGGTAACCAGGTTCTAGTATGTAGCCATAGTACCGCCAGTATTGGTCACCTGAATTGATAAGAAAAATCAGTCAGTATATTTGTCTCATTCATTTTCTACTTAGAGATGTAATCAATATTTTCAAAGAAAGGTATATGAATAAACTGTATACTATGTAGAAAAGTTTACACTACCGCGTACAGCTCAGGTTACGGCTTTCTAGACTGCATGAATGGTGCATTTGATCTGTTTTGTTGAGTTAAACAGCCTTATACACTTACAAATGTTGTTTTGAAACAATACACCTTTCCTGTAATTCGAGCCCTCTATCGATGAGGTGTCCCGGGCGCAAAATGAAATAAATAGGAGACAGTAATGTCGCTCAAATAGACGACTTTATATGGATATGAGGTCGTTCGTAATTTGTTTTCTTTATTGTCGGGAAACCACGGATCAAAATAGCTTACTAGTAGTTGTGAACGCCCCGATGTGAATGGCGGTCCATTACGTTTCTTCGCTTGAGGGCGCAACTTACGGGAACAATTTATTCGGATTCATTGGACATAACATTAAAAGTTTCACCACAATACAGGTAATTTTGAAGAAAATACCTCTAAAGAAATATGTTCTGTTTGACCAGTACGATGTGAATCCCGTATCGATGTTACCAGGAAGATAATTATATGTTTCCGATAGTTTGCGTGGATACGTGTCAACCACGCCGTGTTCATTGAGTTTCCAGATGTGCCTTTTCTTGATTACATATGTGTCTTTGTATACATTAGCTGTGAAAAAATATCAAGAAATTTGAACATTGATATTTCGAGTTAGATTTATTTGATTCGAAAGTACTCTGATGACTATTAATATGACTAATCCATGTTTATTGTCACATTCAAAGATTTTAGCCATTAACAAATTATCCAAATAATCGAATTTCAGTTCATTCAAATTATTTCTGTAATGTGAACAAAACTAAAAGTATCCAGGCAAATAACAGCACCCTTATGACTATGACTTGATCGCCATTTTACAACATAGGGCGAAATGGAAACATTATTTCTACGGCCTATGGCGTGCCCAGTGTCTGTGTCACAACTGCGCATGCTCACCACTCACCCGTTATTATAGCATCGAAACTACATTTACATATGTCGGGAGCTTGACTGCTGTGCGATGGAAACATGGGTACATAATATTTATTTTTACCTGAAAATAATACAATGTAGTGTTATAATAAAATAATTGGGATAATAAAAGAGGAATACCGAAAAATAATCATAAAAAGTCATGAAATTCAATAATAGCACATTTACTGCGAATATAATACGTCGACTGTAATTTGTGCCAGTCGAATTGCATTTGTCCCTCGTATTTAAGCAGAATATTATTGCTGAATTATTGCGATAATCATGAAAATCATAAAATCGATTTGTTTGACAAAAAAATCTTGAAATATTGCAATCCCGGAGCTAGCAGTCTTTACCGTTGAGGGCAGTATAACAAACACGAAAACTCGCGGGACAGAGTTTGGAAATTGAGTCCAGACGTTTCACATGTAGCCAGTTTGTACAATTAGTTAATAGCATATTATCAACATGTCAACAGAAATTGACTTACTCACTTACTTACA